ATAGGATTTACATTGGCACTACCATATTGCTTCTTTTTTTTCTCTCTGTGTGTAATTACTTGTTGTAATATAGAGCAGGCGTAATGTTAATTCGATTATTATCTGCTTGAGGCCGAGTGCCTTAATTTCACATGATTTATTAGCAATTTTATGTTTTTATGACACTTTACCATGTTTTATTTGAAGAGAAAAAAGAAAAACATTAAAATTTTCAGTTTTATTATATATCACAATCAGTCATTTTTGATAATCAAGCTGGAAACAAGTCTCAAAATTTCACAGAGAGGGAGAGAGAGAGGGGGGGGGGGCCCAATTTAGTATTGAAAAAATATTTTGTAGTTGATTTAGACTCATATATACATTCATGTCCATGAGACAGGTTTTGTCTAGAAAATCCAGGCATTTCTTTGAGATAATTTTTGGAATTTACAATATTTTAAAATAGTATTAATTGGTACAGCTAGTATGCATTAATTGGGCTTATACTTCGATATCTATATGTTCTTGGAATTTGTGTTGTCACAATAATTTCTGATAAAATACCAAAGTTTGATTTTTGTTGTTGATATTGTTAAGTTTGTTTGACTGGAAATCATGATAAGGAATCTTTTGGTATTGATTGACAGCTGTAAGAGTTTGAATGTAAATTGCTTTTATCCGAGCATACTTGAAAAAAAAAATCCAATAATCCCTTTTTTGACCCAGATAATGTAATGATGTAAAAAAGAACTAATGATAACATGTACACTATACAGTACTATTTTTAGAGAAATTAAAGAACTTGAAACACAAAGAAAAACCTATTTGAGGTTCCCACACATTAGGGTAAATTTTTCAAGAGAGGAAGAAAAATCATTAGGCTTGATTTAACATTTTGCGTCACTCATACAAAAAAAAATTGTCTGTGTCATCAAAATGTTTAACAGGAAGGCCCCACATTTGGCACATTTTATGAGCTCTAGGGAAGTGACTCTCATGAGCAATGTCATGTCAGTCTTTGTGAATTTAAAGGGCTTGTGCTGTAATTTTACCCAACGAAGATCTAATTTCCTGGCGGAATGGTAGTGTATTGTCAAACATTGATCTACAGATTTACTGAAGCTCCTGTCAATCTCCGTGTTAGATATTTTCCAGATTGCTTCGGTCCTTTTTTTTTTTTTTTTTTTTTGCTCTTATTATCAGCTTAAAGCCTTGAATTTCTGCTTATTTTTTTTTTCTTCAAGTGTTAGATATGTTCAACTGCTAAAATAATAGTGTGAAAATTCAGTGATTGAATTAAATAGAATGGATTTTTTTTTTTTTTTCTTGAAAATGTTATTTTTTTGTTTTGTTTGTTTGTTTGTTTGTTTTTTTTTTTTGTTTTTGTTTTTGTCTTTCAAAAATTAGACGTTATTGTTAATTTTCTGTTTTTACATGATTCATACGACAACTTTCATAGACAAAAGTATGATCAAATTGGTATTTAATGAAAGCAGATCGAGCTTTCAGCAAAGTATATCAAAAAGCATAGAAAGTTTTGAGACTTCTTGAAGCCAATTTTCTTACAGCCATGCATTAAATACAAGGTTGTCTGTTACATGACTTGCCAGCAAAATGCTTTGCACTTAATTTGTCCAGTTCATCGAGCACATAGGAATTCATAAAACTTTTGAAATGGGATTTTTATTATGGAACTGCTTTGAGGGTACAGGTTTTTCTGGGGCAAATATCACTGGCCTCGGAAAGCCGGTCTGCTAGAGATGAAAATGAGGCCATGCCCTGGGTATGAAATAGCACCTTGTGTCTGCTGTCTTTGTCTGGTAGATATTTGATATGTTCAAGGACATGTATTTTTATCTATACTTGGGTTGGAGGTTATTTTGGGTTATTTATTATGTTTTCAACCTGGATTTACAATTTTTTGTATTATTATTATTATTTTTTTCTTCCTTGTAAGTGTTTTTGTCATGCAAGATTTTATGTAATTAAAAAGAAAATTGAAAAGAGATTCCTCCTACATGTCCTAGCATACATGTATTTTGAAAAGGAAAAAAATTATGTAATATGGTTGTTATGATATGATTTAAAAAAAACACACAGGTTATATGATAGGACGTTAAGTTCATCAATCGACCCAGATACTTGCATGAAGAAAGTAAGAAAGAAAAAGTCATCATACATTTAATGAATTCATGGCAGGAATTAGTGTTATTTTCAATGCATTATAAAATGGGCATTTATAATGTTGGGAGGGTATAAACCAGATTTTAGAATTTCCTGCCCATTCATCAATATCAATATTGCAGGGTTTGAATTTTAAAGGTTAACAGCTTGGAGAAAAATTCTTGAGGGATGAATCATTGCTAACTATTTTTTGTCATGTTTACACACACGTTTAGAAGAGGCAATTATTTTTAAAAAGTGTGTCAGTGGTTATGATTTCACGTGCGATATGGAGTTATTCCCCCTGAATTGTAATGTGTCACTTCCAAGATTTTAATTTTTGTTTTGATTGGTTATTATATATTCATTAATTTGTTAATAAGTAATTTAAACTCATTTTCCTGTAGTTTTGTTATAGTTATAATTAATATTTTCTCTAAAGAGGAAAAGAAATTAATAAGACAATGACAATGACTTTACTCTCTTAAGGACATTCTTTGGAATGACTTTGATATAAATAGATTTATTGGTGCCAGAAATACTGTTTGACTCAGAAAGAATCAAAGATATTAATTAATCACAATATTAATCAGATTAATTAAAATATATTAAGTTCTTATGCCATTTTTAAAATCATTTGATATAGATCGTTGGTGATCAGTCACTGGTACGCCTTTAAATATACATGACTGTAAATTAAAAGACTTCATTATTAATATACCAGAAAATATATATATTTTTTTTTTAAATGTTCGTCATAGTTACCATTTAAACCATGCACTGACGTATAGAACCAATTATCAACTCAAAAAGCAAGTGACTTGGTAATTTTACATCAAATTCATTAACTTTAGAAAGGCAAAAGGAATCTTAATATTAAATTTTTTTCTTTATAAATCAATAGTTGCTAATTTATAAGAATAAAACAGGTATTTATAGAAGTCTAATATTTCAGGTATTTTTGATATTTGATATGAAACATCTTTATTTGAATGTAATTTATAAAATCCAATTCATAGTGTATGTTGCATGCAGATTGGATTATCAATTTTCAGAAAATGTTTATTTCCATAAATATATATCAAGGTCATATTCATTTCCAGAATCTTTGCTAAATTAAAATATTAGTTAATTGTAGTACATGTAATTTATATTTAATTGCCTTGGATTAAATTGCAATTGCAAATGGATTTGAATGTGATACATGCTTTAGAATAATGATTTTGTAAAAATCCTTTTTCTATTGTCATTGTTTCATATTTATACATGAGTAGTTTGCAAGAAATGAAAAGTGTATTTTATGAAAATTGATTTTTTTTTTTTTTTTTTTTTTTTTTTTTTTTGTTTACAGTCATTGACGTATGTACAAATTTTTTTAGCATATAGTGTAATTTGAAATGATTTTTACAAAATTTACCATGACATGCTTTTAATGTTAAATGTATACCGGTATATTTTAATTTTGATTTGCAGAGTCATGTACAATTATTATAATACATTTTGTACAACATGTCATGGATAAAGATTGTAAAAGCTAGGATTCATTGTCGAAAATTAATTAATTTTCAGAACAATATAGAAATTTTAATCCAATTTTGAATTATTCATTGAAAAAAAGATTAAAGAAAAAATTTCATACAATTATGAATTAAGTGTATATGGGTGCAATCGTCTTTTTTTTAGTAAAAGTCCAAGAACTTTTGCATTTCATTTGAGTACAATGACTTGTACATTGATAAATATTTATAGAACCCCAACGTCACAGACTGACGATAGATAATATTTCACATGGTCGGAATAGAGAAATCTGTGTCAATGTGTCACTCAATGTTTAAGCAAAGAGCATCGACATGACATAGATCGGAGATCCTGTATATTGTACTAAAGTGTCCATGCAAGTTCAATGAACCTAACTTAAGTGCCGTCTGTCAGGTTTATATAAGTATAATCTATGGTGAAATAGAAAAAGTGGGTTACATGAGTGTTTTATATATATATGTATATAAGGTGTATGGTAATGCCCTAGCGTTAGCCGATAGTCAGTACGTGAAACTCTTCACAGCCATGCTGACTGAGCTCATTCCTTTGTTCTGGCTTTCTGTCTCGCTATAGTCTCTAGGCCCGCTGTCATACATTGACAATTGTAATTATTGTACGCCTGTGATTTAAGTAGTGATTTTTTTTTCTTTCACTTCATCGGAATATATTTGTTGTTGGATTCTCAGGACACATAAGTGCATGAAGAAGTTTGGTGGATAGAACTTTCTTTGAATGTGATCTTGGAATGCAGTTCAACTTCTTTCATTCATTCAGTGTTGAAGGAGGATCATTAAATTTGAAATTTTTGTAAACTCTCTATATAAAGGAAATTGACTTTCTCATTTTTTTTCTTCCAAATCTGCATTCAGAAAGCTAGTGCAGCAAATTTTAATTTTTTTTCCTTCCACATTACAAGGAGCTAGTCGAGCTGCAAGAAGAATATAAAAGGTTGTAGCAAAGTGGGATATAAAAATTCAATATTTTGACATGTTTGAAATATGTCTTGTGCAGACATTATTTAACCCTTTTGTTCCAAAGAATGGTTAAAAATATATATATTGATATATGCTCCCTTTAATGTTTGCCTAAAAAAGCCTCAAAGATAACAAAGATCTCAACGAAGACTTTTTTTATCTGAACATTGTGAACGGAGGTAATCAAATATGAAGACTTTGTATTATTGACGTCTGCTCGAATGTCAGTGTTGGAAGACTGGGAAACCTGTAATAGTGGAGTTTTTTTCCTTTTCTCTCTCTCGTTTGTTGTTAACCCTGGTGAAGGCTTTAATATAATTCTCCAATTCTTCAAACCCTGTGAAGTCACTGAAATAAAAAAAGAGGAAATGTAAACAAAGCTCTACACATGTCGAACCTGCCAGAGATTACATTGAACTTCATGCTCGGGCTAGACCCGGCCAGGTAATTATTTATTTTGGTACTGGGTTATGATATATTTATTGCTCAGGTGTTGTATATATACTTGCAAGATCAGCCATTTTCATGGGAAGGATCTGAGAGTTTTTCTGTCCCTAAATCCTGCATGTTGATCTCTTGCTTGTTTTTGATTTGGTTACAAAGGTAATATTGAACAAGATTTCTTTAATGCGCTCATGCACTCACTTGCCTTAATTTGGTATTTCCTTAAACAAAAGGCTTTGTCATGTTGTATTATTGATGGTTTTCATTTAGATTTTTTATTTTATTTTATTTTTTTGTGAATGGAATACATATGAGGTAATTCATGTAGTGCAGTTTCTATTTTAAAACATTGAAGAGCACTTGAAATTACATTGATCAGGAAATAGAATTTAGGATTTTTGTGAAAACTGTGTTATAGTTGTAACAGTTTTTTTTTATAACTCCTGTTCATGGGTACCAGTTACTGCAATGTATGTATATTATAGCAATGAGGATGTACAATAATAATCAATGTGGCTGTGTGTTTATCCTCCCGGGGGATAAAGATCCTTCAGATTTCTCCCGTGGGGGGTAAATATAAGTTTCTGTTTTGCATACCAGCAATTGTTTATTTATCCAGAACTGTCAATTTATGATCATAATTAATATATCTACTGGTAAATGCCATTTTGTATGCTGAAACTTCTCAATATCTTATTGAGGCACTAAAAGTATGAATTCTTAGCTCAGAACTATCATTTTACATTGTATATAATCATAATTATGACAAATATTTTTAGATATAACATAGCCCAACACAATTTCATTGTGTATTTTCATGGCATATCTGCGAGCCTGCTGACAATTTCTTCATCAGTTTCTGCTATACCCCCAGTTTAAATGCATTTTTATTAACTTTTTTTTGAAAGGGATTTTTTTGTTATCATCACATTGTTTGGTAGACTGTGCATTGCATGCACACATTTTATAATTGTCACCGTTCATTTTGTGTCTGACATACTTTTAGGAAATTAATGTTAGGTTGACCTCTGTGTACATGAGTACAAAATATTTAAGATGAGTGAGTGCACATGACAAGTGCAGATTCAGGTGCCACTCCTTGCGTGCGCCCCCTTCAAAAAATTATTTCAGACATTATTTTAATTATCACTCTATGCATAAACGTAATAATATGCGGTCATTTATAAGGTTTTCTAATTGATGATTCTCAGGAGCTAATGGGGCTTCACCCCCAGACATGTCCTTAACCTGCAGGAGACCTCTTCAGAGCTCAGACCCCTCCCCGCAGACATGTCCTTGACCTGCAGGGGACCTCTGAGGAACTCAGGACCCCTCACCATCTTAAAGTGACCCTTCTAACTCAAAAGCCCACATGACAATGGAGATGTAAAGAATTTACACAGTAATGTACAATGGATTGGAATTATTTTTTCAGATTAAAATTTCTGTTACATTTAGCAACTTTAGGCAGTAGACCATTAAACTGTTAGAGATCTGTTTTTTGTGGTGATAATAAAGAACCAATGAATTTGTCAGTTGTGGGTTACATGTGTGAAAAAAGATCAATGGTCAAAAAGGAACCTGAATAAGGTACCACCAAAAAAAATATGCCACTGCTAATTAAGGGCAACTGGATGGCATCTTGTATACGTAGCAGTTTGTTCTAGCTTACTGTTAATGTGGGTAATTTACGTGTGGGAGTAATTTACATTAAGCTCGCAAAAAGAAGTCTTTATATGTATTTTATTCAGCAGTAACAATATTAAAGCTAGTATCTTAGAAATAAGTCCCACCTTTATTCTTTTGGTAATGATTAACTTTTCAAGCACTGTGATGCTAAATGCAAAATAGCATTGACTGTTGCTGCATGGTCATTTGAATGGGGTTTTCAGAGCAAGATTGTACTAATGTTTATTTGTGATGTAATGTACCGTAGAGGTGTCTGAACTAATTTTTTTCCTGTAATTAATAGATTTTTTAATTATGATATATCACTTGGACGAGGGAGCAATTTTTATGTTGTGGGGACTGAACCGTTACATATATTCTCTGTATTAATTGACAGATTTTTAATTAACGACAGTTATCAAAACCAGTATGATTTGATAAAAAATTCTTCCCAGCTGCAGAATTGTATGTCAAACAGCAATAGACACACAAGTCAGGTATTTTTACAATTAATAAAAGATGATGAAACTTTGAATCACTTAACCCTTGATGTTTAAATTTCATGTCAAATGAAAACTGGCTAACTGATAAACAGTGAAATCATTATCTATATATACATACAGAGATTTCATAATACATAAAAACTAAGTTATGATATACATAATTTTAATTGTTAAGGTTCAGGAACAGTTATGAAAGCATAAAAGAAACTTTGAGATAGCTGTATTGTTTTAGTTGAAAGTAGGTCACTGTGTTACATTAATATCTATGTATGCTAGGACTGTATTATAAATAAATGTCTAATGTGCACTTTTCATGGAAGAGATTTTTTTTTAGTGTTTTGATTAAGTATGTGTGTTCTGCATATATTGCATAAGGAGAATTGTTATTTTTAAGATGTAGACAAGTACTCTTGACAAATTATTTGATGAATAAAAAAAATGTCATACGACTTGCTCATGCACATCTAATTAATACTGTACGATCAAATGAGGTTCAAGATGTTGATAATAAACTATATTGGGTACATATTGCTCTTAATGATCAATCGATGGCAAGGAAATTGATGTTTTTTTTTTTTTTGGTTTTTTTTTTGCATTCACTAGCAATCAATATTTGATCTTATACTCTCATTCTTTCTCTCTCTCTCTCTCTCTCTCTCTCTCTCTCTCTCTCTCTCTGACTGCTTAACCTAGGTTTCTTAGAGTTTTCCAAGCATTACAATTAGCATGCAGTTGAGGAAATGAAAAGTCTCTCACACATTCTTGACAAAAAGCAGGAAAAGATTTGGTTCATTATTTTAAAACTCTGAATAATTGGAATGTGTGTATTGTGAAAGTAAAAATAAAAGTTTGTAGTGGATGCAAATTTAAGGCAATGAACTCCTCTAAATAAATATACTTGTGGTATGTGGTGAAATGCAACAACATTTCACTGTTTTCTCGACAATGTCAAAGCTGTGTACATGATGATATGCATGTACGTATATCGGACATGCTTCATTCTCTAAAATGATAGCTGTGGCTCCCCAAGTAATTCTTACCATTTCTTAGATATACTAGGAACTGCTCAAAATTCTCTAAATCTTAATTGGGAAAAACTTGAGACTTCATGGAATATGTGGCATGAATTTATATTTATTACATATCCAGAAAAAAATTATAAATAAAAACATACGATTTAGATGGACTTTAAAGATAAATAATTTTTAGAATTGATTACTTAATGACTATACTTGTGCATAATACCTGGAAACATGAACGAATCTTTATTCACCTTCATATATTATTCTTTGCACTGGTTTCATATTTTTAAAAAAATCAATACCCTCTCGTTATATAAGTATGATTGTAATAACAATCCACTATGGTCTCTTTAGTGTGGGTATTTCAGTAAATTATATTGTGCTGTTTTTGTCACAGAGTGCGTCTGTTGCACTAATGCGTCATTAAAAATTAAAAAAAAAAAACAAATTGCGACCTACTTGACATGTATTTAGCAGACGTCACACACGACATGTGATATTTGCACCCACACACAAAATATATATATACGCTTCTGTTTGTGTGTGCTTATATTTATAGTTACTGAAAGGACTTATAACTCACTGTTGGTGAAGTTTGTATCTTGTTCAAAGTTTACAGAATCATGTTTGAAGGGGACTGTGATTTAATATTCAATATGGACTTGTACTGGGGAGTTTCATTTGGAAATCTTCAAGGGTATAATTTCTCAGCTGAGCATTTATGTCATATGAGAATTAAAATTTTAAGTTTTGAGTATTCTGAAGTAATTTAATTTTGTTCGTGGCCATTTAATTTTGTTTGTAAACTGATACTCTGATGTTCTCATAAACTATTTTTGAAACCATGCAATTTGTAAATGTGAAATATCAACTTGATGTATTGACAAAAATGTTTTCAGCTACTTAACTTGAATTTAAAAAAAATATGTATTATAAAAGTGAGCTTTCATCTTGGATAGACTTATTATTGTTTTAAACATGTCTGATTTATATATATAATTGACACATAATATTACATTTTCTCAGAAGATAAAATCTCATAACTTTGAGGAAATTTTTTATTTTCCTTGAATTTGTGAAAGCTCAGGATTTCAGTTTTAGATTTAGAAGCCCATTATGCTGCAGAAAATAGATATAAGTAGTGCTAAGGCGCTATATCTTGATAATCCTCAGTCAATTCCAAGTGGATTTGTTATAGACAACCAATTGGAGTTTATGGTTTTAGCTATACCATTCCCATAGGAAGTTATATAACTTGAGAAGGTAAAAATGGGGGCGTCTGTTTTTCAGGAGATTATGGATAAGATATAAAAAGAAAAAAAGGAATTAGTGTCATGATTTTTCTCGATTTGAAGATTGAGTAGGATCTTTAGGAGTATATATTCATGAAGCAAGTCATTTGGAGAAATTTCTTAATATGGGCATTCGAACCATGCTTCATACTGTCAAGTAAAACTGCCAGAAATCACTAATATTTTTTGTGAATTATTGTTTTTCATCATTTGGAGAAATCTCTTTATGGGCATTTGAACCATGCTTCATATTGTCAAGTAAAACTGCCAGAATGACGAATATTTTTTTGTGAATATTATTTTTTTCTATCATCCGTAGAATAAGAGTTACTTTCCTTTCGTTAATATTTCATAGGGAGGCAGACTTTTTAATAAAGTTCTAGAAAATACAATGGGACAGTTGAACTTTGGTATCTTGATTATCAATTTTTTGAAGTTAGACATCCCAACCATGTTATCTTCAATCCTCTGATATCTCAAAGTTTTTTTTTTCTTTGTCCCCATTTAGCATGAGATATTGAGGTTTGACTGTATGTTCATTTTTAAATTCATTGATGATTTGTGTTGTATTTTGTAGGTGTGTAACAGAAGAAAAGATTGCCTGTCAGTTGCCTTGTGTCCAAGATTTGTTCTCCAGGAAAAATGGAGTCAAAAGGTAAAAAATAAGGAAATGAGAATTTACATTTATTTAAAATTCTAATTGACATACATCAGGGGTATCACTACCTAAATAGCATGTAATATCTATTAAAAAAAAATGCATATAGACTCTCATCTTTTCTAGCCAAGGGTTTAGGATCCCTCCCCCCTTTTTCCTCCTGGAGAGAAAGGGAGTGGGTCATTAACCCTTTGCTAAGGAAGCTGGTAAGGTCTTGTAAAAAAAAAAAAAAAAAAAAAAAGCATTTGTATCTCTAAGCTCTTTCAATTCATTTGGATCAAGCACTTTGAATCTGCCAAGTAGAAATTGTCAATACTTATACTGAAATGACTGAAGTTAAAAAGGCTCATTTATATAAAATGGGTAATTTACCTTCCTCATTGTCATGAGCACAACTTGAGACTGTTTAGAAATTCTTGTATGTAACCAAAGACAAATTTGATGTGGAATGCCAGTTTTCTTAATGTACAGTAAAAATTTAAAGTGTCTACTATTACATCTGTACAACATGTTGACATGGTTCAGGTATAGGAAAGCTGAAAATGACAAAGCAAAATTTATGTCTTAAAGCAGTCAGTTCTTTCAATTGACAATTTGTAAAGTAATGTAAATTATGTAATGAATTCATATGAAATTTTTGCTCTCGTCAGATAGCAATTACTGAAATTATTTCCTGTTTGAAATCAATTAAATAATGAGAATTAATTATTTATTTTTAAGTTCTTTGTTGTGTTACCCTGTATGAAGAGTTTATCAAAAAAGTAATGAGCGAAAACACATACACTTGAACTTCAATATGTTGAACCTGGATATCTCGAATACCATTGATATGTCGAAGTGATTTGGAAGTCCCAACTGCTTATTCCTTAAGTATTTTACCCTGGATATCTTGAATCCTCAGATATTTCAAAGTATTTTCTCGGTCCCATCAAGTTCGAGGTAACGAGGTTTGACTGTATTAAAGGTCTTTTGAAATTTTTTTTTTAAAAAGTGTCATTTGTGAGCTTTAAAAATGAAGGCATGAAAGAGTGATTATGTAGATTTGCAACTATTTAGATCAAAGCTTCATTTTATATATAAACTGTTCTACAAATTGCATGATCAATAATCAGTTTCTAAAGTAGGTCATCGGGTGTAGAATATAGCTGATAAAAGATTTGATTGAAGATTGCATGCTGCACTACAATATTCTCAATCTATAGTTCTGTGTTCTAAATAAATGAAACCAAGTTTCTTTGAATCTAATTGTGAGTGGAGGTGGATTCGAATTTTATGCCTTTTGACATTTTTTTTTTCAATAATCCTGATTTTAAGGCTTGGTGTGTGGGTTCAGTTCAGAGGAAGCAAATAATTGGTTTTCAGTATTAGAATTTTGGAGTTATTAAAATTCAGAACTGCTATTCCAATATATATATGTAAAAAATATCTGTAGAATTTATTATTAAGTTGGTTTATCTCTGAACAAGGTAATAGTACTTTGTCACTTCGATGACTGTAGTTTAGTATCAAGGGTTTGTTCAACTTAGTAGCAGCTACCCTAGCTGCTAAGCTAGATATCTAGTATTGAAAGACCTCTATGATAATTGTTATCATTTCGTAGTGGCATGGCTATCAAATCGTTCAAGATTGTAGCTCTATGTAGCTGCTATGATACTCCTATTCTGACTAGATTTTTCTCTTGTCTCAGCAATCTTGGGGATGTGGTACAGTAGAAACTAAAAGATGAATATTTTGTTGCTTATTTGTCTAAACACAATATGAGAGTTGAGTGGAGGGCATTGTTAGATGTAAAATAGCTCAGTTTTTTCGTACACATAAATTTTGCACAAAACTTAGAAAAAATGTTTTGTAATCTGATGGTCTGACTTTATTTTTTAAAGATAAGGCATTGTGGATGGAGTATTATTATGTATATGAATGTCTTCATTAAAAAACAAATGTTTTATTATCATGCAAGCCCATCTTTTAAAGTGGATAGTTTTCAACTTAGTGAAAGAAGAGAAATACAGACAGAGTGCAGATTTTCTTTCAGTAAAGTGTGGAATTGGAAATGAATTGCTAATTTGCCTTGAAGAAGAGAAAGCTGGGAGGAGGCTCTCTAGTGTCCTCACAGTGAGCAAGACTTCCATTGACAGAGGATTAAGCTGTCAACTGCATTGACAGTGGGCTTTCATTGAAATCCGTAGGTCAACACTGGGGGGTCACCATCTGCACTAGGTTGAATCCTGCTTGTCCTTTCATTATAATGCTTGAAGTTTGTCAGGTTACACAGTTTATGTTAATTTTAGTGTACAGGATTTTTTGGGGGGTCTTGTTCATCAACAAACCATGAATTGGAACAGAAAAAAAAATTGTGTGTAACAAGTGCACTTGATAGAAGTAGGTTTTTATTAAGTTTGAATGGATGAATGCAGTGCATGTTAATTGGTGTGTGCCTTGTCTTGGTTGTGACCAGTGCATTTCCCCTCATCTAAGACTTTTGATTGTTCTGTCATATTCCTCAATCCTTTGAACAGATGAGATGCACATGAAGCATGAAGCTATTGATTCTGTTCAAGTTTTTTCAAACTTTGACCTTGGCCTTTCCTTTGACCTTGATTATGATTTCTTGACATGAATTCAATCCAAAGTCAGGGGCACTCTTTCCTTATAGAATAGAATAGAATAGAATAGGATTTATTATCAAATCAGGGCCCAATGGGCATAAACATATAACATGTATAATTACAGATAGGATAACAGACAGAATACAACATATAATGAAGAGAAATTCTTCCATTTAGTACATTGGTGGTGTTTTGAGTTTCATATGTAGACATAGGTTGTCTTGATTTAAGATATATCTGTACTCTAAATTGAGTAATAACTTAGTGTGCAATGATGTGCATTACTATTACTAATATTATACATATAACTGAACACATAAAAAATGTCTGATACATCAACAAGAGGCAGCAAGAGTCGGTGCTAAAGGATATACAGAAATCCACTTCTGCCTCATGTAGAATAAACAGATACATAATCTATGGAAAAGAGTATTTAAAAAAAATTAATAATAATAATAATAATAGCATTAATAAAAATAATAATAATATAATAATAATAATAAAAAAAATTGTATGTTGAATGGCATGTGTAAATTATATTAAACTGCAGTGGACAGCAAGAGTCAGTGCTGAAGGATAGTTTTATTATTTTTATACAACAACATACACATATTAACAACATAACATACTGTAGTATAAGTATTAAATCAAAGTACATGTAAGTAAAGTCAAAATCAACTTGTGTCTTTGAATTTGTCTAACTACACATGACTTATAAATGGACACTACTTCTTGTATTTGAAACCATTATATCCAAAATGTTTCTATACATAAATACAAGCTTTTACATGCATAGAACTGTGAAGAAAAGTGTTCTAATCCTGATTTTGAAGAGATTAGCTTAAGTGTATCTTGCATCTGTATGATTTTCTGGACTCTTTTATGACTTCAATTATATTCCAAGACTGCACTCCATACGATGTTCAGACTGAAGCATAACTGGTGAGATTGAGTGTCTGTTGCTGAGGATTATATTCAATGAATCACATCCCATTGACCAAAATGTCTACAAACTTGATGAATTCCATTAATTTCTGAAAATTTTCACCTGTCTTTTCCGAAAATAACCATGTTATTCACAATGGGAGCAGCTGGTTGTAGCGGTGATGTTTTGACATGTTTTGTTCTGGTAGTGAATGCCATGTGGGACATTTTAACATAAAGAAAAGTGTATTGCCGTTCCTTTAATTTTCTTTTACTTTGGTACAGTTGACTATTATAACAATATGATAAGTGAAAATGTGGTTTAGTTTTAATCTAAAGTGCCGTATAATTATGGGTTTTTTTTTTGTAGGTAGACCTTGTTGACATAATTTTTGTTTGTTTGAAAGACTAGAATTGTAAAATGACATGAGTTCAGTTTGGACAATGTCATGATGACTGACACATCATGTGACTCGGGACACGTTATAGCTTTACTTTTGTAAGCAGATGTCTGAGAAAAAGATTTATATAAATATGAGAATATTACTTGCTTCTAATAATTTGTGATAAAATTTTCAAGTGAAGATATGATATGTATTCTACATTTATTTATCATTATGTGGATAGAATTTCAAGCTTTTGAAAATGAAATGAAGGCAGATGATTAGATTAAAGCTGAAGTGATTTTATATGCTGTTGTAGAAAAGATATGTGTCAACTGCTTATCTTTTATTGATATCAAAGAAAGATAAGTCAATTTCAAGTTGTTTTTGTCATCTGTCCTCTTTAAATTGTGAAGTGATGCTCGAGTTTTTGGAAACTTTTATGGATTAAACTCTTTCCTTTTTTTTTGAAGGGATGCTTTAGTTCAGTAATATCTTTACATTTCTGAAATGAAAATTAAAATAATTTTTTTTTTCAGTTTTAGTGATGAAGAGATGCCGCATGTCATGGAAAGTGTCTGCATGCCAGACACCACCCGACAAGACAGCGTGGCGACATGTTCGAGTGAGGGATCTCTCGACGCCTCACCGCTGGCACACGATGGAGGATGCTCAGTTACCCCTGACAACTCGCGCTCATGTACACCTTCCTCCATGAGCTGTCTGTTGAGTCCAATCAGTAAAGATAGTCGTTCGGCTGACAGCTCGCAGTGTGAATGCAAGGACACGCCCCCACCGCCTTTAACGTGCAAATGGAAAGATTGTGAGTGTGAAGACTTCGAACCGCATGGAATCTTGGAACACATAAAATCAAAACATGTGGAGTGTCAGAAAGGAAAGAAAGTCTCGTGTCTGTGGGAAGGATGTAAGGTTTATAGTGTGCAGTCAAAATCACGAGCGTGGCTCGAGCACCACGTGGTGTGCCACTGTGGCGACAAGCCGTTCCGATGCATTGTGGACGGGTGCTCTCTAAGTTTTACTTCACATAAAGGATTGGAGAAGCATGTAAACAATCATTTTAAGTTACAACAGGTGCAAGGTCCCAGGCAGGCTAAGTCACGCGAGGACACGCCCACCAAGATGTGGAAGAGGAGGAAATGTCGTCGAAGTCGGCCTCCTGGTGGTATGTATTTCTTGGGGAGTGGATACAATGAAGTCCGCAAACTTGTGTAAGGTATTTTGAAGGAGTGGATCCATAAACTGCATATTAACATACATGTATACAGTAAAACACACTTATAACGAAGTGCCAGGGGCGGGCGTTTTTACTTCGTTATGTGCGTAGTTCATTATATCCATTAGCTTCACAATATGTATAAAACCCACAGGGAATTAAAATTACTTCACTATAATTGTCAGTTCATTATAAGCATGTTCACTATAAGTGTGTTTTATTGTATATGTACAAAAGTCAAGATTCTTAATCTTTACCTTTTCAAGAGCACAAAAAAGCAATGTGCAAATGAAATGAAATTCATAGCTCTGTTTCAAATGATAAAGATAATACTAGGCATATGTTGGACATGTTAGAGGAAGGGGGTCCCTGTGAGAAAAAGAGACAGGTATTCTAAGTTCATCAGATATGTTATCCCTCTTTTGGCTTTAATCAAAGTAAAATATACTTCAACTTTCATTTCTTCTGACCTCTTAATCAAAGATGAGCATGCATGCATGGATACAGGAATTTTTTTGCAAGGGGTTGGGTAGGGGTGGGGGTGGGGCACACCAACCCTAAAAGTATCAGACTTGTAAATTTTTGGACAAGTTGACAAGCCAGAAAAAAATCTAAATCTCTTACTTGAAAGATGTATCAGGGAGAAAGAATATACCTGAATATTCTTGGACTGTGACCGATTAATTGTCATATATCATGATTAATGTGCAAGCCAAAATGGAAATACTGCTCTGAAGTTGAATGCTCTTATAAATGTGTCAAACTGCCATCATACATGTTTTATACTGGCTGTCTGTTTTGCTGAGAGCCACTGAAAAATTATTTTTACAAGGTTTATATGTCTCCCATTTAAAGGAGCTTCTTTGAATATGATTAATTAAAAAGTGAAAATATTAATGATAAACAAATAGAGTCGAAAGATAATAGGTGAAATCATGAAGATGTACATATTTCCAAAAGCATAGTGTATATGAATAGTAGAAATGCCATAATCATGATAATCATGATTATATTGATAAGTAGAGGGGAAGTTAGTGTTAAAATGGAAGTCAATGTCAAAGCTTCAAACCAGGTCAAGGTCAATTCATATATGCCAAGGACAAAGCTTAGATGGCATTGTATGTGTATATATATTCTGGGTTTGGGGTTTAAAAATTGAGAATTATAATTTAAATCCATATTTTTTTTGCATAGAAAAGCAAATTTTTATGCACTTTATATGTAAATGAACGATGCCTATAAAAATAAAAGAGAATGTTTTTGCATAATGCATGAGCTTCACATTTTCTAATCAGGAAGCTAACATGAAAAGTCTTTGTTTGCATCAGTTTTGATTATTTTACAAATACTGTCATATTTATGATATCTCAATCAGACATTTTGTTCAGAGGAATCTTCTGTTATATAATTTTCTATTCTCCATGTATTTCAAGTGAATGTCTGCCATCATTTTCAAAAAATAAAAAATTCTAAGGACAAAATCGATAATAATTGTACCCACTTCTGTAGGGGCGACAGTGCTGCTTGATTTATGACAGATTTATCAAGGTCATGTAACACAATACACCCACTGTGTGTAGGCATAGTATTATTTCCCTTTGTGTACATTAACTAGGTGAAATTGACATCCCCCCCAAACAATGTATCCAGCTAGTAGTTTATAAATACACTGGGGGGAGATGTTTATTGTCTGCAGTTAGCTTCCGCAATTATGTAATATCACCCAGATAACCTGTACAAAAAAAAAAAAAAAAAAATCACAGAAAAGAATGATATGCCAAAATAATCCCTGTACAATGATGGAGCCAGACGAACAGCTGCTACTGTTTATATGTGTGTACATGTAGGCTTTATGTATATATTATATACATGCAGGTACAGATTGTAGATTAATAATATGCCAAGCCACATACCAACTGCTAAAGAAAATGTGCCCCAGTAATATATCTTACCACCCACCTCTACAATGTCATAATTATTATGCATTATATTACCCCCCCCCCCCCCCCCCCCCCAAAAAAAAAAAAATTAAAAATTGTTCAGTGCACGTGAATGTAAAGTTAATTTGAAAATCCCAGAAGTGTAGGAATTTTATAAACGGTATGGTACAGTAAAACATGCTTATAGCGAACACGCTTATACCTAATTGATGCTTATACAGCGAAGTAATTTTAATATCCCCGGTGGCTTTAAATTATATTAATTGACTTGTAAACTTAATGGATATTAGGAATTATGCTTATAACAAAGCAAAATTGTCTGTCCCTTTGTTATAAGCTTTGAAATCATATATATGTTCTGAAAGCACATATATACCTAAGGCCAAAAAAAATAATAGTCTTGTTTCCTGCTACCCGACCTACCCTATTCTTTAGCCCCCGACCCTAAAGTTTTTTTTTAAGTTTTGGAAGAAAAAAACTCGGGAATTTTCGGAATTTCATTGTACTGTCACCGTAATCAGTTTCCGTGATAACACAAAACAAGCATTTCATGAAATTCTTGTTTTAAATATGGACTTTCATAAAATACCACTTGAGTTGTGCATAAAAAAGACATGAAATTTAATTTTAAAAGACAACGTTGACCTGTGACATGTTTAATTTGATCTTGTATTAGTTCATATCCAAAAAATTCTGTCGGAAAAAAAATAAAATAAAAATATAAAATAAAAATAATTTTCCTACCTACCTACCCTATTTTTTTCAGGCCGGTAGCAGGAAACAAGACTATTATTTTTTTTGGCCTAATATGAATGATCATTTTAAAACTTTATTAAATCTATCACTGTCTATTAAGGAAACAGTTTCAGGTTTTCAGTACTATTATGTTTCAAGACTTCAAAGTACTATTTTCTTCTTCTCTATTACTTTATAGCTCTACGGAGTCTTTTGTAATAGAAGCAAGATAAATTAGATTTTGCTGGGTCAATCTGTATGAAATCTGATAGGCTGACTCTTATGAGCAAATTCCATGGGTGGTTTTTATGTCATGAAAATTTTATGAATGAAGATTAAAAAAAATTGTCTTTAAATTGTGTTTGCTTGGATTCTTTATGCCTCTATCCTTATTTTCTTCATCGACTCTACAGGGTTCATGATCGTCATTTGATACCATATTGGATATTAGAGGGGGAAAAAATTATGAGCATTTTCTCCAGAATTTATGTCAATTTGGTGAAAAATTATTCAGAAAAAACAGTTCATTATATATTATGGCTTAATAGTTCATGTACATGTAATTCGATCTTTTTGTCTCTTCTAAACATATGCTGAAGGCCTTTGATAAGAATGAAAAATAGAAACTTGTTGATCTTATTTTAGTACATGCAAGTACAGCATATAGACAAATTATGATACACGTATACATATAACTTTTTTTTTTGGTATTTTGTATTTACTAAAAATATTCTCAGGATTAATCGGTACCTAAAATGGGATTCATAGTAATAAGTTATTTTTTTCCTGTGGTTTTCAACATTATGTAACAAATGAGCATATTATAAATGAACCTGTGTAGCCACAGAACAGAATTTACATTTTCCAGACCTGCATTTCGTATAATTTTTCAATTGAATGAGTGATTGATCTGTTTCCCTGAGATAACAGATGTGAACACATCCCTACTGTAATTTTACAAACCTTATGTTCATCATGTCTAATATATCCCCTGCCCGTCTTCAGTGTATGTCTTTTAATTACTTGTGATGAGCTGCCAGTTTTTTTAACCATGCATGGGAATACAGTTTACTGTATCAACTGCACAGCATAGTTTTAGAGAACTATAGCCATGAAAAATCAGGGAACTGGAAAGAATTGAGTTTTGTGCAACTTCAAGCAGTTAAAGGGAGACAACTTTCATATGTATATTTGAATGCAGCTATTTATTTTTGATATTCGTCAATATTTTTTTCTTGACAATTTTGAATGCACAAAAAAAATCTTATCAATCAACCTAAACAATTGCAGTTATTTCTTAAAATTTTGGATTCCTTAATTTTTCTAAAATTAATTTTGCATATTTTTTTTTCAGTGAAACAAGTGGATTTTTTTGATGATGGTATAATGGAGAGGATACAGGTTGACCTGACCTACACAACAGAACTGACAAATATTGATCTCAATGGCAGCTCAGACTCCGCCACATTCCACAGCCATGTAAGTAGATACACAGGTCAATCTTTTTTTATTTTTATCAATGATAAAAGAATTTTTCCTAATTTTTAGGTCATTACAATGATTTAGCAACCCTCAAAGTACAATTTTCACCTTGCCCTTTGGGCTTGGTAATTTTTGTATTCCTTGGGTAGCAAAATCATTGCATTGACCTCAAAAACAGCAATGCTTGTATAAGTGTACAGGACACTGTATTTTTATTTTAGTGCAGTTGTAGGTTGAGGGCTATTTAGTTAAAATCAATTAATTTTTAATTTTTGAATGAAAATGAATGACCAAAATATGGATAAATGTATATTTATTTAACGGTAAGCAACCCTTCATCGTAACGTAAAAACAATCCTGATATTTTATTTTTGTAGTGTTTCCTTTTTAAGCCTATATATTGCTTTTGGTAACTTTTTACATCTTCAACTTCAGTACAAGAACACAAATTCAATATCTACTTTGAAAATATATATATTTTTTAGCTCTCTTCGAAAAGTTGAGATGAGGTTATGCTGTACATAAGATACACCCAGCTTCCCCTTTTCTCTAATCTAACCTATGTTTACAATATAAATTGATAAAGACCTCATCAGCTCTTAATTTATTATAATTTTTAAGAAAATGTGTACAGTGTATTTATTTTCCATTCCACTTTTGTATGATAACTTTTAAATTTATTAGTTCTTTATATTACACTAATAGTATGGTTGTAACATTATTTAAGTGTTGCAGTAATGGAATTTGATTCTCATAAATATAATTACTGTGCGTCCTGGCAAAAATGTTTGAATATCTTTGTAGGTCATAGCAAAGAGAACTGATCGCAATGGGAAAGTCCAAGCCCTTCTTCACTGGCAGCCAGAGAACGTGTAAGTGAAATGCTAAGGCCATGCATGGCCAAATATATCAAATTTTGTCTAATATATTTTGTACGATCCATCATTGATAAAGATTTACTGCAAATCTAATCTAAGCTGGACATCACTAGTTCTATAAAAATTTGTCGGCTTCGACAACAGAAATGGATGAAAAGTTGTCATCATAATAGGCAAGATTTTCAAATACCAGTACACCAGCTAGGACATATTTCTTCAAAAATTAAAACAAAAAACTTTTTTTTACAATAATGGACATGCAGACAAGACTGTTACAATATTTCATAGATCATTGTACCCCAACCATTAAGACCCAAAAACAAGAGACCACAATTCCCTAAACTTTTCTGTTCGATTTGTGTACATATAAAGCTACTTTCACTTTCCATTTGTAGAGTACAAGATTGCTGGGTTGCGGAGAAGGAGTTGGAGAATTTTCAAACTTGCACCATCCCTCTCAAGCGACTACCTCATCCGACGGCGGCCAACCTCCACTCCTCCATCTACCGCCACCACAGGTGCCGCAAACACCGCAGGAAGTGACATCACCCAGCAACTAAGTTCCCCCAAGTGCAAATATTACAGACTCCTAATGGAGATTGCTGTGATGTTTTCTTGTAGTTTCATGACAGATTTTTTTGTGTGTGTGGTTATGCTGGACAGCCAGAGAAAGGTTTTGACTGCAATATATGTGTATGTTTTTTCCTTGAGGATCTCAAATTACTATATAATTACTGGAGAAACAAAGTAATTATAAGAATATATGTCAATATTTTTGAGAAGATTTTTGTTGAAAGACTGAAGTGTAATGGAATTTGTGTGATTTTTTTTTTTTTTTTTTTTTTTTTTTTAACAATTTTTGTAGCCGAATTAGTTAAAATATTTGTTAAACATATTTTTGATTTTGATATTGGACATCAAAAAGTCTGGAAATGCAAAAGTGAGTGCTATTATTTTTAAATTATGGCATTTATAATTACATGTATTTCTGCAAAAAAGTTCATTCAGAAAGTGCTGTGAAACAGAGTAAAGAAAAAAAAAGGTGACAATATGCAAACATGACATTCCTTCTAAATGTTTTACTTTCAATATAATATTATTCCATCATTAACAATTTTTCTTTCTTTGTCTGATATTTTTTTATGCGTTTAAATTAATTTTCTACCGATAAAATTCACAAGCTGATTGAAAGTTTTCTTAGGGTGGGATACGACCTGCATACATTGTGAAATAATGTAAGATTACTAGAAATAGATTACTCTGAAAAAATGTGGTTTAGAACCTTGTTGTATATTGAAAAGGAATTCAAAAATATCAACCAGTATACTCTTTCAAAAAAAAAAATTTCCCAACTACCTCTACACTCTACGTAATTTATTTATTAATTTAATAATTAAGAAAATTAGTTAGTCTCGCCTTCTTTGTATTGTATATATACTTCTGTGTCATTTGAAATGTATCAAAAGTCTTCTTTTTTTTTTTTCTTTCAAAGAAATGCCTTAATTGTATTTTAAATTCCTTAATTGAAGAGAAATTCACAAATCTTAGCAGAAATTAAATGTGAATTTGATGAATTTTTTACATGGGAGAAGAAAATGTATTGTTTACATGTGCAGATTTTTTTTTAAGTTATATTAAATAATTCAAATGAATTATTTGGATTAAGAATGGTTTAAAGGGATTTTCATTCCTGTAAAGGTTTTTGAGGGTTAGTCAATTGTAGATTACACAATGTTTTATATTTTCTCAGAGTATTATAGGTACAAACTGCTCATTTCATTAATGTATGGCTTAAAGTAAGTTAACTGTGCTACAGATTATGAAATACAATATTTATACATATTGTATATTTTCTCAGGGAAATATCTAATATTTATTTACAAGCAGGGGTTTAAAAATTCCAATGCATAAAAACCCACACATGTAACAGAGAGCTTGCTTTATCATGTAAAAATTCCCAAATGGGGAAGAGATTTCGGGAATTTTCGAGGTACCTTATCAGTTACTTAGTCCCAGTGATGTCATTATGTTCACTTATTTGTGGCCAGAATCTAACCTATCCAAGAACAGACATCTGCAGGTAGAGGTTTAGGATATGATAAAAACTTGGAAAACTGCCTGCACAGCCAAAATATAAAATCTCCTTTCAATGACCTCTCTGAAGAGGAGAGGTCAATGGGGTCAAGTTTTTGTTTGGTTGCCTGTAATTTGTAATTACTATATGCATGTTAATTAATTTGTAATTACTATATTGAATTTGTTCTTAAATTACTTTGATATCAGAGGACAATGTAAATCAAACCATGAGGCATATAACCATTTTTTTAGGGGGGGGGGGGGGGGGGGGGGGGGGAAGGGCACATTGAATAATTATTGGTATTAACAGCCACTGGGATTCAGTCTTCGTTAGCAGCCCCCAAAATTCTCGACATTCTTATTCCCGCTTGTTCTGCCAATGTATTTTTATTGAATTGAGTAATGGTTGATCATCAGAGATGCTTAAAATCATACTGTCAGTCATTGGATGTTCCTTAATTTAGCATCAAGCATAATTTCATTTTTTCAAATTTAAAAAAAGAAGCATATGTCAAAGATTTGTGAAATTAACTTTGTTATATTTGTAGAGTAGTCTAAAACTTGAAATTGAAGATATTTTAAAGAAACTGAGAGAAGTACTAAATTTTCAAGGTAAAAACTTTGTATCATTTAATGTGTCATGTGACAAAATCGTAATGTCAATGGTATGAATATTGCTAGTCTTAATTCCTTTTTTTTTTCATTTATTTATTTTTGTATTACTTAAACAGTGCTCAAGCCTGTTTTAAAAATGATCAGTAATTAATATTAACAATATTATGTAAAAATTCAGCAATGTTACAGGTTTTTTTGTGCTGCCAATTTGAAATGCGTAGAGATTTTACCACATGCCATTCTTTTTCAAAAGAACATTCAATTACTCGTGATGAGTTGCATGTTTGTTCAGGAAAATATTTTTTTTACAGTTGTGTGAGATGCATTAGCAATACATGACATTTTACTATGGGGGTTATATACCCCTCTTAGCACAAGCGTTTCTCAGGTTTTTCATGGAGTAAATGTTTTAATTGACAAGTCATTCTAAGAAAAGTTGTCAAAACATTGAACAACTGAGAATTCATTAATATCGGTGACCTCCCATGACTCCATCGTATCGTATGATTTGTGATAAGGCTTAGTATGCGGGAAAGCCGTATATGGATTGAAAAAGTGCTTAAGCTGTACCACAAGTTTAATGTAACAATTAAGAGAAAATGTTTCCATGCATATTGTCCATCACTGTGTGTATGCAGAATAGTTAAGAAGAAATCAGTGCTGGGAGAAATGTTCTTAATATCAAACAAGACATGGGTCATGTTGTAATCAAAATGTGAGAGAATGATTTATGAACAAATGTTGACATCACTTGAGTCATTTTGGAAAAAAAAAACAACAGCATATTTATACACTTTTTTTATCAATGTTGATGAACAGTCATGAGTTATGAGGACATTTTTCGACAGCATTTTACAAACGGTGATATTTTGTGAATAGTTCATTGTTCGTATTCCATCATTCAATCGGAGGACACTCATTTATGTGCAACTTATCGGAACAAAAAAACATATCAGTATTCCAATATAAGAAAACTTTTGTGCACAATGTAGATTAATAGGTAAAGCTAAAATGAGAGACACTTGTGTGAACATGCCTAGCATTCTCAAGGTCAATTTGTGGAAGGTGAGAGTGTTGACCTTCTTTTGTACATAAATATTTAATAATCCCCCCTTCTAAGCTTAAGGTCAAGGTCAAACTGTTATTGGCTGTATTTCTGTTGTTGCATGCACACTTGGTACATGTGTTTGTTTGTATATATATATATAAATGACCTTGACCTGCTTGCTAGTGACCTTAGGTGTCTAGCTTTGACTGTTGATTGTTTTCATTAAATATTTATGTTCTGTTTTTTCTTGTACAAAGATATTAAGCTGTTATTCTCCCTAAAATTGCCAAGCTGTATATGTATTGTATATAAATGTACTGAAAAAAGTTTTTATTGGAATTATACATTGTATGACACAGGATGACAAGTTAAAGAAAAAAAAAAAGATAAGTTGAACTTTGACCCCAAAGTTGAACTTTGACTCCAATCCTGATTCCAATGGCTCCTGCTCAAAATGTAGCTCATGCAAAACAAATGGCTTGATCCACAATAATTTATGAAACATCTCATGCTTTCTGTGCAGAATTACTTTATTTGAATATCCAACATCGTGTAAATATTTCTCACTTGATATTTATTTTTTTCCTCCAGAATTCTGTCAGGCAACAGGAAATTTGATAATTTTTTTTTGTCACAAGCAATTGTAAAATGTAAACAATTTTTTTCTTTGTTATACAAGCAATTGTGAAATGTAACTAGTCATTGTGTTTTTTACTGGTTTATATTGTGTTAGAATGTTTTCATGAGTGAAAAATTAGATGGACAATACACATATAAATCATGTGTTGACTTTGATAATGTTTATGTCAAAAAGTTTTAAAATATGTCAGAAAATGATTTAAAAATAATGTAAAGAATATGGAGATATGTCAGACAATTAAGATTTCCATCAACTTGAAAGTTGTTTTCATCGTTTGATTGTTTTATTGAATGAATTTAATTTTTCAAGTCATTGATTTTTATTTTGTTAAAGAAATTAGAATTAATATATAAAATTTAACTTCGAAATTTGTACACAAAATGATTTTTTTTTCCTGAGTGACCAAAAATCAAACATTCGTCAAAGGGGACGTTAACATTCCAATCCTAGAACACAAGAGAGAGAGTGTCTTTTATATCATTAATGAGCTAATTAATTTTGTGTTAATTAAGAGAAAGTAAACAATATTTCTGTGGAAATGATCTCAGTGAATAATCAGGTACAAACGATGTTGCAAATTAAAATGAATAAATGAAGAAACAAAATTCCCGAAGTAGCCGTTAATTTCATGGATGTTGCCAGGTTGATGAAGTGAACTGCATGCACATGTGTATTGGGGAAAATGTGGATACTCACTATGCAGTGAATTTTTATGTTTGACCCTTGGTCATTTAAAATGTACAGATGGAATTTAAATTATAAATTGTGTACACACTGATTCTACATCATTTGTTATAATGGTTTTCATTGGTTGATTGTCTGTTTATTAACAGCTGTGAGGAAAATGTAAACACGTCTATGATTGGTGAATTGTAAACCACATGAATTTCCTTGATGTTAGGGTTTACTCATTGTATTTATATTGTGAACATGTTCAGAATGAGGTGTAATTATTTTTCTTCATAATATTAATATGTACATGTACATTCATTTGAAGTTTTCATGTGAATTTGCTGTTCTCAAGAGTCAGTCATTTGTTACTTAGCTATATTGTGGAATAACAACACCACCATCACCCCCCCCCCCCTCCCCCCTCCCTCCCCCATACCAAAGCACAATTCATCAAACTTTTGGCAAGCTCATTCTTTTTTTTTTAAAAATGCTATAAATAGATTTCTTTTGATAGAATTCTATTTCAAATGAACTCACATCAGCTTGAGAAAAGCATATTTTTTTTTTCAACAATATGGCCATGTATTCTTGAAGACTTCAGGTTTATATGTTGACTTTGAAGATATGTTGTATCAACATAATGCTTGATGGCATAAAATTTTTCGGTGATTTCCTTCAGTGTTCAAATGATGCTTTGAAAGTTTGACAAGATCTGTGTTGCGTTTGATTTTAGAGTAAATGTACATTAACATCTGATATAACATTTTGAAGCAAGA